AGAGAAGCTGTGGATGCCCCATCCCTGGAAGTGTTCAAGGCCAGGTTGGATGGGGCCTTGGGCAACCTGGGCTGGTGGGAAGTGTCTCTGCCCATGGCAGGGGCGTTGGAACTGGATGATCTTTAAGGTCGCTTCCAACCTAAACCATTCTATGATGATAAGAGCGGAACAACTGGGTAAGTTGAACTGTCTAGACACAGGGAATAAATTGAGGCTGACAGCGTTGGGTGAAGGCCATGTAGCGCACAACCCAATGAGAAACGAGAACTTCAGGCTATTTTTTGAGGCAAGTAGCTGGCAAAATTTTGAGACTGGCCCCCGTGTTAATCATATTACTTAAAAATTGTAAGGGTTTTAATCTCCATGCTGCGGTTCTAAGCCAAATGTACTGTGTGATGAAGATCTCCTGTCTTGACTTCTCTCCCGCTTGGCGTATTGTAACTTCTCAGCCGTGCTTACGCTTAATTACTCGGTTCTGAAGAATTTGTGTGAGTGTTGAATGCAGGGCACTGGAGCAGAAAGAGCTTTGATCTGCCTCGCACTGTTTCTGCTGGGCCTGAATTTTATAACTTAAAGATGAACTTTGAGAATCGTTATCAAAACCGCCTATTTTCACTTCTTTTACAGCTTTTTACTTTTTCAGAGCCTTGCGTCCTACCTTCCCTATCTAGTAATACCATAAATTAACAATTTTCTCCTTTTTTTTTTTTCCCCCTGATCTGTGCCGTTTTCAGAACTGTGCTGAATATCTAACCACAAACTCATTTTTTATTTCTCTAATTCTCTTTTTAACCAACGGGGATCACTCATTATGTTCGTAGCCCAAACCTCTGTTGGCTTATTGTAATCTCGGAGCCAAGTACTGTATTACATGCTTTACATTTCCTACTCCTGGATATCAGGTGACACCAGAGTCGTGGAATCCATCATAAATAGGTTTCATCCGTAATGGGAGAACAAATTGCTAAGTGTTTTTCTTTTTCTTTTCTTTTTGTTTTTTAATCTTGATTAAGTTTGAGGGTTTAATTACACTTTTTTGTGGCGATTTTAGGGTTGTTAAGTAGAGAAGATGAAATGCAAATAAGCGAATACAAATGGTTTTGGGAAATTACTGTTAAAAATTAGCGCAGAGATTATTTTTACTCTTAACAATAAGCATGCTTTTTAAAAGCTTGTGCTCAGGTAAAGTTTTAATTGAGATGTTTTAGGAGTTGAAGTCTCTTTGTGTTTGGTTTATTTTTTTTTTTCCTAAGCTATCCTGAATTGTGTCTAATTAGGGGCATGATACCATTTGCCTAGATATTTATTCCTATGTAATTTGTTTAAACTTAGACAGCACAGTACTGATGTATTCCTTTCATTACAGACAACTCTCTTTGATGGGCTTTGACTAGCTAATTATTAAAATGGAACACATTACTAATAGCCTCCGAGTAGGTAGAGTTTTCTGAAGATAAATAGACTTTCTGAATGCAGTGACAAAAGTTAATTTTTAAGGGGTTTCTTTCCATCTTCGCACACAAGGAAATGACAAGTGAATGGTTTGGAATCTGCTGCTGCAACGTGGAGATGCTTAAACAGCATCAAATATGGGACCACCGCTCAGGGCTGCGAGGGTTTCACAAACCCTAGGTCTGAAAAAGGGACCCCCAACCCCTCCCTGAGTGTGTGGGACTCGGGGAAAATCAATCCTCAGCTGCATGGGCAGAACTGATGGCTGTGGGAGTTCATAGAATCATAGAATGGTTTAGGTTGGAAGGGACCTTGAAGATCATCCAGTTCCACCCCCCCTGCCATGGGCAGGGACACCTCCCACCAGACCAGGTTGCTCAAGGCCACCTCCAGCCTGGCCTTGAACACCTCCAGGGATGGGACCTCAACAACCTCTCTGGGCAACCTGGTCCAGTGCCTCACCACCCTTAAAGTGAAAAACTTCTTCCTAATGTTTAATCTAAACCTGCCCTCTTCCAGTTTGTAGCCATTCCCCCTCGTCCTGTCGCTACATGCCCTTGTCAAAAGTCCTTCCCCAGCTCTCCTGTAGGCCCCCTTTAGGGACTGGAAGGCGGCAATAAGATCTCCCCAGAGCCTCCTCTTCTCCAGGCTGAACAGCCCCAACTCTCTCAGCCTCATCTTTTCAATGGTAAAAGAAACATGTTTGGTTCGGGAGCTATTCAAGGGCAACTTTTGCAACGTTCCCAGGATTTTTTTTCCAGCAGCATACGTGACCTGCAGCACACACACCGGAACACACGCATGAATGTTTTATATCTCTGCATATAAATATATAGAAAATATATAGGCATACATACACATATAGAAAATATGCTTTTGTAACTGAATAGATCAATATTGCGAACCTTTGTGTTTTTCAGGGCTGGGGTATGTAATCAGTCTGTAAAGGCCAACCAGCAAGCCGCCCACCATCTCCCTGGTGCTGCTCGAATCAGTTTGGGGAGGAGTGGGCACTTCTGGCAAAGATACCTTTGGTACCATCGGGGTTTTGTACCAGATTGAGTTGGTCAAGTAACGTGAAATGAGCTTTTTTCCAAATTAGTGACAGCGACATAAATCACTAGGATCACATTTCTGAAAAGTCTGTCAATTAGAATTTTTTGAGATTTTTAGTAATTTTCCAGGCTTACAGAGTACCTAAAGACCCGAGACGTTCAGGTTCCATTGTAACGCTGTTTTCTTTTGAATGCTGAGTTCCTCTTCCTTGTGTTTGCAGATGTTGCTGACAGAGTATCTGGATATGAAGAACACCCGCACTGCCTCCGAGCCGTCTGCCCAGCTTAGCTACGCCAGCTCTGGGAGAGAATTCGCAGCGTTCTTTGCAAAGAAGAAGCCACAGAGACCTAAAAACCCGTTGTTCAAGTAAGTGCTGGGAGGACGTTAAAGCTGTGCCTAAGCTGTCTTTGGTGCCTGGAGTATTGCGCAGCATTGGCTGCTAATCGCAGTTTCACAGTGTGAGAGGAGCGTAAGTCTTGAGATGGAGATTTAATGCCCAAAGCTGAAGCCTCAGTAAGATCTCTGTTACGGATTCATCGCTGGTTTTTAAAGCGTTGCTCTTTCCAAAGCTCATCTGGGGACTGGGATCCCATTATATAAGCTGCTGCAAAGCGTGCAGTGATACATTATGGCTCTCTTTGTCCGCGGTAAATTCAGAACCTGTTAAAGGGAGCGATAAAGGGGACTGGACAAAGAGAATTAAGATAACTGTATAATTACTAGGTAGACTAAGCGGTTAATCCTATCACTAACTCCTTTAATTCGGAGTTCAGAGTGGAAAGAATTAAGTGGTTGGGAGGAGAGTGTAAGAGAGAGGATGAGAAGCGGAGGGGCTGGGTGGCCGAGGGAGGGATTTGGGGGAGCAAATTTGATGTGCAAGAATAAGAATTGAGGAGGAGTTATTGGTGAGCAGCACTGTTAAGAGAGGAGAGATGGGCTTTTTCTTATGCCTGGATTCAGGGGAGCTGTGCTGAATTTTCACCTCTTCCCACGACTACATGTGCTGGTCATTCTGTTTGGCTTCTTAAGGATTTTGGGGGATACCAGAATGTGCTGGGTTGGCAGGAGATGCTCTGAGTTCAAAGCTCACAGCTTCCTCAGCTCTGCCAGCATATCTGTGTGTGTGGCTGCTCCCTAACTCAGCATTGCCAAAATAATCTTCTAAATGATTATTTTTTTATTTTTTTTTTTTTTTAAACAATGAGATTGTTCGAAAACAGTTGGTGAGGGACCGAGCAAGTTTCAGGGTAGATTCGAGGGAAGGGCGATGTGGAGCAGTGGTGGGGAGTGCCAGCAGCTCCAGGCATTAACCTTTATAACCGCGCTCAGCTGCAGCAGGAGCAGCGTATCTGATGGGTCCTCAGCACCCCTCTGCGCTATAAGCTGCTGCAGGGCTTCGGCTGTCTTCCTCTGCCCGTCTGAGCGGTGCTGAGCCTTAATAGAGAGTCCAAGGTTAAAAAAAAAATAATCATAGAATCATTGAATGGTTTAAGCTGGAAAGGACCTTGAATATCATTGAGTTCCAACCCCCCTGCCATGGGCAGGGAAAAAATCCACCATAATATTCCATAATATTTGCTGGAGGGGAAGCGATTGGAAGCATGCTGGTGTTTTCACCCATTATTTGCTGGAGATGGGGAGCCGTGAAGTCTGTTGGTTTTTTGGTTTTGGTTCTTTTTTTTTTTTTAAATGAAGAACCCCGCAATTGTGATTGTAGATAGATCGTTATATGGGGGGACAATAACGCTGGAATCAGAGAATGGTTTAGGTTGGAAAGGACCTTGAAGATCATCGAGTTCCAACCCCCCTGCCATGGGCAGGGACACCTCCCACCACACCAGGTTGCCCAAGGCCACCTCCAGCCTGGCCTTGAACACCTCCAGGGATGGGGCCTCAACAACCTCTCTGGGCAACCTGTTCCAGTGCCTCACCACCCTCAGGGTGAAAAACTTCTTCCTAATGTTTAATCTAAACTCTTCCAGTTTGTAGCCATTCCCCCTCGTCCTGTCACTACATG